TAGAAAACAGTTAGATATTAACACACCAAAAAGTTGCAGCTTTCTTCCAGAAATCTGTTTTCTAGGAAATACGCAATGTGCAACAGAAGGTTAGCCAGGTCAGTCCTTTCCTAAGCTTATCATAACCGTCCTTGGTTTTTCAGCCATGTGTGAAGCATATAGATGTGTTCCAACTCAGTTCAGTGTCTTAAATGAAAGCTATTTCAGGAGTTTGTTTGTCCTTAACACTGGTAAATAGGTTGAGCTTTTAATCATAGTGCTGAAGAATGAGGCATGCCAAATTTTAAAAGGCAGCACAAAATTTCACCCTGCTCATCTGTTTTCCAGGGTGATAGGCTTATCTGGCTCCTTTAAATGTAGTTGTCAGTCTTCCTTGCAGAAAAATACCCAGACTGGGTGAGGCATTTGATTTTAACAAAGTGGAGTCTGTTAAAAATCACTGTGATTCTGAACTTCAAAATCTAGATATCAGGTTATCATATTTTATTTTGTCTTAACCTTTGAAAATTTCTAGTGGTTTCTGCATTGTTGGGCACAGCACATGAGAAGCCTTGCTCTGTGACACAGCTCTGACACCTGCACCTGAAACTGGAAGGTTGTAACAGACATACAAAGTCAGAGATTTCAGTTTTAAATATGGTATACATACCGGCCATGGATGTTGATGTACACACATGCTCTCAACACCTTAAAAGCCCTTTAAGCCTTTTGGGGTTTGTTTTTTTCTGTACTGAAATTATTGATTTCCACCTTACCTTTCTTTCTGTAGCTAACAGGGGTGCAGATTAAATACTGGCCTTTTCTGCAACCTTTTTATTCTTGCTTTGCTATACATTTCCTACTACACAGTGTTTAGATGCATACCATAGCCTCAGTAATAAGATAAAGGTTCAAAGTCATATCAATGTTGTAAAGGGAAAGCATATCCACAAAATTTCAAGTTGTTTTATCTGTACCGCCTTCCTATGGTAATTGCAGAAACTTTATATTAAGATCTATTTTAGTTGGAAGGGAAAATATTCTCTTCAGCCTGTTTAGCCTGCCCACATTTTTATTATTTATGGTGTCTGTAGTGTCTAATCAAAAATTATTTGGCTTTTTTACCTGGTGTTTATTTGATAGATAATCACTATTAATCTAGATGCTGAATCCATGTGTTGTTAGCATTGCTTTCACAAAATATCCATATCCTACACTGACAAGTAATGGAAACTGTAGTAATCAGTGGGATTCTAATGAGCAAAATAAATTGTTCTAATTATCTCATAAACCTGCTTTTATGACTGGAAGTACAAAAAATTATGGCTTGAAAGTAGTGTTATCTTAAACCACTGGAGAAATTGAAGAGACTTTATTTCCATACATCAGGTTGCCCATATATCCCGAGAGTAAGGTTCTCCATAGGTAGGAAGGAATGCAAATTATTCTCAGTGTAGCCAAAGAAAGCATCACACTTCTGCCTGTCCTTGACTGTTTGAAGTAAATAGCTTGAATCTTGTTTCATTTACACAAGGGTAATTGGAAGTATATCCTAAAAATCAGCATAATGAAATTGAAATTCTCCATGAGGATTTCCACTTAAAATTTTCCATTTATAAGTGTCAAAAAAATGGCTGAATTGTTATTTGGTTGTGTAGCATACAGCATTTCTAACGGAGCAAAGATATCAAAAACAACACTAAGATATCCTCATTCCCATGCCTCTGCTTTATTTAAGTCACACTCTCAACATATAGGTTGTAGTACCTGTGCATGCTATTATGATAAAATAATAAAGCCTGTACATACAATGACTGTTCTTGGTAATGAGTACTTGATACTTGTATTCCAACAGACCAGGACTGCTTAGGTAATGCCAGAACTACAATAGCAACCTTAAAATTATACGAGGAAACCTTTTCAAAAGTCACTAGTGATTTTAAATAAAATCAAACTATGAAAAACATCTGTCTTGAAAGTACCTCAAAACTGCTGGGTCACTGCACTTGAAAATCAGCCCTTTTTTGAACTTGCTCACCGGTCATCAAAACTGGAGATTTCCAGTGTTTTCTAGAATGGTTTCAGGAGTGTCATGGGAAAAGAGGTGCTCTGGATAAGGTGAATAATTTTTCTAATTGTGGGGGAGGATTGCTATGAACATCTAACCTGCAGTTTCAATCTCACGTATGCTTTGGATTAGCAAAATTGGATTAAAGTTGCATTCTGTAGCTTATCAATAATATAATGAACTACAAAACCTTATCTATTTTTTTTTATTTACTATAGTTTTATAGTTTTGAGCAAACTTTCTCAGGGTTCTCTGTTTCTGAGAAGGCACGAGGAACAAGTTTTGGCTACCAGTAGTGTGCATTATGTCAGAGGTGTTGGTGAGAGGAAGATGACTTTTTATATGGGAGACTGAATGTATGAGAACATTTTCCTTAGTGAAAAAAAGGAACCTACTGTCAGTAATATTGATCAAGCTGATAGTCACTAGGCAACAAGTGCCAGACGAAATTGATATGGAAAATGCTGGATGTCAGAAAAGTGATGTTCTTATGGAAATTATTTATTATCAGCTAAAGGGAATCTTAAAGGAGGAAAGCAGTTGACAGTCTAATATAAGGCATGTTTCAGGTTTTGGAGTAAAGTCTTGTGAGAATATAGCTGCTAAGTCTGTCACTAAGTAATTGTGCATATTTAACGAGCATCAGGCTTCAAGCTTATAAAGGGATACTGACTTGTTGCTTCACATTCTTGGAGAATAAATTTGTAGAGGATTCAGCTGTTTACAAGAATTAACTGCTGGAGGGATTTTGTAGTTGCCATCTTTTATGAAATTTAGGCCTTTGGAGTGTATTGATTGATTAACATTCTAAATATTGCCAAATTGTTTGTTTTACTAAACAATGCAACCTGAAAGCTGTCTTCTCCTTTAACATTAAAATCTATTCCCTAAAATAATAATCAAGAGTGTGTCTCTGCAACCTCAACTAAAATGCATAGTTGGGTGCAACCTCAACTGAAATGCAAATGCGAAGGGTAAGAAGTAGCCTGTTACTGGCGTTTTACATGCTGGCAAAGGACTATGCATCTTGCGCAGAGTCAGATCACTGACGCCTCTCAATGCTGCTGTAATATTATATATGAATGTGTATTCTATATGAAACAGTGAAGTATTTGTGACCTTTGGGCATTATTGTAAGGATACAGTATCAGGATACAGACCTTAATTTCCACAGCTATATCCTGAAGTCATTTGTACCAGAGAGAACATTTGGGGCAAATGTGAGCAAGGGATGGTTTTTAAAGGACCAAGGGATTCACAGTTGTAAGACTTCTTTGGTCATCTGTATCATAAAAAAAATGCTGCTTTACCCTGTGTACTGTTACCAAATGTTTACAGTTCCACTGACTGGTTATCTGTAGTATTTTCACTGTGTTTAATGTCTTGTAAGACTCTAAACTGTATGTAATATTTGATTTTAAAAGATAAATGATATCAAGGAATTGATGATCCTTATTCAGGGACACTTTGTTCCTCTCTATGTAAAGATTTAATTAATTTTTAATTATTTTTTAATTATTTATTTTTATTATTTTTACCATCTTGTTAAGAATTTATGGTATCTTGTGGTTCTTTTACTACCCTTGGTAAGAAGGTCATGCTGCTGCTAGTGGTTGCAATTTTTTTTTAATGTGTATTGGACCTTGTCCAATAATCTTGATCAGTCCCCCAGGTATGTGGGGATACACTTTTACTAGCGTATTGGGTTCTACTACCAAAAAGTCCTTTCATTGTCCTTCCTTATTTTTCCATGCTATGTTTAAAATTATCTTTAGATAATAAAGAGCGTGATTGTTATCTTTTGTAGACCTTTGCACAGTGTTTGTATACTTGTTGGAACTTCCAAGTGTTTTGGCACTGTTGCAGGATGATGTAGAGTTTTTTGCCCACTATTGTTTAGAAGTGGTTATAATCATGAGATCTTGGTTATCCATGAGTCAATTGTCCAAGCTGTAGGTTAAGTATTTGTTGTTATTTCTAGCCATTCCCAGGCTGCAGCAAAACCTGCAGCCACTCTAGAAAGCATCTGCATTTGATGTGCTGTGAATTGTGGTATAATTTCATGAAGCACAACTTTGCCTGCTAATGCTTAGCTGCTTCTGCTTTCCAAACTTTCCAAGTATTTGAAGTTTAAATATTTCTATGAATTATACCTTAATCTTCTTATATTTTTGAATAACTTTTCATTTTATACAAACTGGTATTCTTCTCCATTATGTCTCATGTTCTTAATAGGTGAGCACTAACTATATTTCAGTGCACTGATTTACAGTTTTAAATACTTCATCTTGTATAACGTTGTTTCAAGTGAAAAGTGTCTCACGATCATTAAACTTATCAGTTATGAGTGATATTCCAACACAGAAATCCTAAGTTTCCAATTCAAGAAGTTTCCCAAAACTCAGGGTTAAATGCATAAATGTACTGACGAAGTATGTTTTTTATTATAAAAGTTAATACAAAATTATTCAGCTTCACTGGGCAGATCAGCAGGCCTGGTTAGAGGATATTTGGTTGTTTTTTATTCTTTCATCAATATGAGGTGAAAATAACTTCTATATGACTTTATCCTCCCATAGTCTGTGAGCGGTAATAGTGTATGTGTATCAAGTCTTTATAATAAAGTTTTAAGAATAATTCCATTTTACCAGTTACGTGGGAAAAAGCCTGTGGTTTTGTTAACTGGGATCGTTTTCCTTGTTTTGCATTTATGTACTTAAAATTCAAAGCAAAATAATACCATGTCTGTGCTTTTGAAGTCAGTTGCTGAAAAAATGCTAGAGCTGATGCCTGTCTCCAAAATAGCCAGTTTTCTGGTATCTCACCTGTTAAAGCCTGTTTATCTAACTTGCAGAAGGAATACTTAAATTGGAAGTTAACTACTGTCAAGTGCAGTAAGTAATAGGGATGGTATTAGCAAAACAACCTCATATTGAATTCTTCTGTGTTACAGGAGTACAAACGCAAGTTAGCCAGAGTGTCCCAAGTACGGAAAGAACTCAGGTCAAGGATCCAGAACCTGCCTGATCTCTCACGACTTCCCAACGTCACAGGCAGCCATGTACACCTACCGTTTGCAGGAGACATCTACAGTGATGATTGATTACAAGAACATCCTTCCATAACCTCTGCTTTTCTGTGAAATGAGGGGTAGGCCAGACTGATCGGTACTCTTGTAGTATTATTTTTGTATATTGTTGGAGAGTGTCAGTAAAAATACTTTAATAATTTATAAAAAATGGTTTAAAAAGTTGATTTGTTTACTATTTTATTGGCGAGTGAACATAAGGGTACATTTATAAAAGTGGCATATGGGTCTGTTACACTGAAGAATTAATAATTATCTTATCTTTTGTAAAGATTTTAGTTGGGTGCCCTGTAAAAAAACATGCTAAGATTTTTCTTATGTACCCTGTATTTAATGTAGATCAACATATAATCAAAACATAATTCTAACTTGAGACGTTTCCGTTGCTAGTGAGGGAGTGAAATGTGGAAATCACAGGCTTAGATTTGCAAAAAGGTCAATGCAATTTAATGCAAAGTTAAAAGTGATCTTACTGTCCATTACGTTTAAATTACCCACTCCCAAAAAAAGGAAGTTATTTTGAGGTAAATGTTAATAACCAATTTTCTGTTGGAAAACATAAGTCATGTTACACTGAGCAGATCTTTAAATTACTCAAAATACTGCAATATTTTTGTATCATTTAAAAGTCATTGTGTAGAAACTATACAATTGACCAGTTTAATTATGTTTCGAAATTGTAACTTTTTACAGCTGCTTAGTTTCTAAATGGAGGGACCATTCATTTGTACTCTAATCTCTTTCTAGAACATCTGTCTCCATCTAAAAAGGTTAATCCCAGAAATGTGAAGCTATTTTACAGCTTTAATTAAATGGAAAGGTCATTCTCTAAACTGTCTCAATTGCTAAATGCCCATTATTAATGTTTGGCAATGCTACATACCATCCATATATGAAGCAAGATGATGATACAGCCGTGCTGTACATCCTCTTCCACTGAGAAACCTTGAAGGCCGGCATGGGCTACCAGCTCCCCACCTGGACCCAACCCAGCAAAGATTTCTAGATCTCGATCGTCTTTTTCTCACACAACAGGAGGAGACAGTTCAGATCTGTGTATAAGTCAAACAGCGTAAAATTATTGCCAAGTTAAAAATCTCTGTGTGGCACAAATGTGGTGTTTGTCTATGAACAGCTGAATTTGTGAAGAATCCTTGTCAGCGTACTATGCATCAGCTTTTAAAGTCACTTAAAGATACAGACGGGCAACCAGCAGATTGCTGGTAAGTTTGGGCTTTTTGATCAATCGGAATGAGGCATGTAATTGTTGAGGAATGATTTTAAAAACGCCTATCTGTACCTTGGGCATTTGTATGAACTGTCTAATTTCTTCTGTCTCCACAGTAGCTATCCCAAAAGCCCAATGATGTCCTTTTGGATCTTTGAAATACCCACTCCTGAGGTCATCTATGCCAGGGATGCATGGGGCCTCTAGACCAGTCACAATGGAGTGTCTGTGCCATTCCTTCCCTGTCAAGCTCACTTCAGCTTGCAGTAGAGTCAGTTGTTAAGATCCTCCTGTCACCCCAGAAATAGAGATGGATTCTGCCCCTACATATCTCAGTGGCATCAAAGTACATTGTGCACCAGTGTCAACTAGAGCCTTATATCTTTGTGAGTCTGATGTGCCAGGCCATTGGATCCACACAGTCCAATAGACCCGACTGTCCCTCTCCTCTGCCTGGCTAGAGGCAGGGCACCCCTAGTCCTGGTCATGGTACTTGTTGCTCTCTTACCATAAATATGACCTGGAGGTCCCTTTGAGCGGATCACATATAACATCATCACTTCTATACCATTTGGAGTCTTGACCGAGAGACAGGAGCAGCGTTTATCCTTGAAGAGTTTCTTGTGGTACTTGTTCCTCTTTTCAATTCACGTACCTGGGCTGCTAAGGAAGAGGTGGATTTTCTGTCCCACCTTCTCGTATCTTCTCCATGCTCATGGAGGTAAAACCATAGATTACCTGGGGGAGTGTACCCTCTCTCCTCTCTCCTTAGCTGGAGGATGCCTGCTCCTGATAGCAGAGACTCTTGTTTACCCTGGCGAATTATGGAAGATCTCTTCCTTAATTTCCTCTCTTAACTTCTGGTGGCCCTCTTCAATCTTCTCTTCCAGGCTTCGGACATGTTCAGCCAGTTTTGTTTCCACAGAGCAGATGTGGGCTTGTAACACGCGCCGCAACAAAACCCGGCTCACAAAGTGGTCTGCGCAAGTGCTGAGTTTGAAGCAAATGAGCCTTTATTGAAGGGACAACTCCCTCTTTTATAGAGGGAACCGTGGAATGTTGAGGAAAAAGGAGAGTGTTTTCCATATAAGGTAAAAGGTAGGAGGGGATTATGCAAACTTAGGCATAAGGAGGAGGGTATAAAACCATATAAGGGAAAATATGGGTGGGACATATGCAAATAGAGGAAACCTCTGCAATGCAGCAAACAACAGCCAATCAGGAAATAGGAATAAAGTTTATAACATTCTGAGGGGAAAACAATCTTAAAACTGGGTTTTGTAATTACCAACTATGTATTAGAATATTTGTGTAAAACATATAATAAAGTGGGACAAAATACACCACTGTAAATTGTCTTATGAAAGAAAGGCAAAAAGTCCACAGGGGAAAGTCCTTCAACCACACAGGGGAATATGTCTGCACATGTCCCCTGAACAGAGGCATCAACCTAACAATAGGTTTAGCCACATGGTCTCTTTAATAAAGTCCTCAACTGAGTCCTGCTATCTTCTCTCGGCTTTATTTGTTTTTTGGGTAGCACTCCTTCTTCCATAACTTGTAGTCCTTCCACTGTATTTTGCCACTCCTGGCAGGCTCGTAATGGGGCAATGACAGAGTCTTCATAAATCCTGAGTTTACCAACCTTGTCCTCTCCCTCCCTCCATTGCAACATTGCTAAGTAGTAGGAATCCATTTCTGGCCTGAGCCGTGCAAACTCTAACCACATCTGGGATGTGCTCTGTACACTGTCTGGACTTTTAGGGAATCTTTTGTCTTCTGAAAAGATTATCTCCAGTATGGCTAATTCTCTCAAGCATCAGATACCTTGTTCCCTCGTGTTCCATTGTCCTTGTTGCTCACGGAGGTCCTCCTTACAAAGATATCTCTCCCTTACACTTGACAACAGTTGCTGCCTGAGGCTGAGAGTTTCCTGCCTTTTTACAGTCCCCTGATCAATGACTACATCTCGAGACAGGGATCCCAGGTGTCCTTGCTTCACTCCCATCTAGAATTGTATCATTAGCTGTGGCGTCCCAGATTCAGAGCAGCCACGTCAAAATGGACTCGTTTGCGTGTCACATGAACTCTCTCTGCAGCTCATGCAGATCACCCAGGTTAGGGACCGAGTGGATGATTTCTGGCTCTGTTTCTTCTGCTAAGCCTAAAGGTCCTACCTCTTCCCTGTCATCCACTAAGCAAACTGATTTAGTCTTGGATTTTCTTTTCTGGACAGGAGCGACACGGTGCTGGGTTGTTTGCTTCATTTTACCTCTGGCTCAGCCGTGGTTTGTGTGGACAAGGTGCCTGTTGATTTGCTTCTTTTCCCCTCGGGTTCAGTTCTGATTTGTGTGGACACAGTACCTATTGATTTGTTTGTCTCCTCCTCCTGAAGGTGCTGTACCATACCAAGCAGCGACTGGTAGGCAGTGGCCAGGGCCCAGCATGTTGTCGTAAGCTGCCCATCTCTGGAGCTGTCAGAGCACCTTCCTTCCACGTATCTTATTACTCTAACAGGGTCCTGCAGTTGTTCAGGGATGAATTTCCAGATCACTGAAGGAGAGAAGCTCTCCAAATACTGGCCCATGTCCTCCCACTTCCGTGGCACTCAGCATTATCCACTCCCAGAGCAGGCCTCCAGGCAACTTCCCTAGAAGCTGCCCTGGGCAGCTCCTGCAAATGACCCATTATTAACAGTCCATCAGAAATGACATACAGGGTGTAGAATACACAGTTTTGGTTATACCCACATAGTGATAAACTGGTCCTGGCCCCTGTAACAAGGACAGCGGTTGAATTCCATCCATGGGAAACTTAATTTATCCCCAGAGGTGATTATAAGTACAGTGACATGGCTTGTTAGACTGCATTGGAGGATCTGTCTTGGATACTCAAAATCATAGGGAATTTTTAAACAGTCTTTTGCTGCCTTAATGGAAAATAATTATAATAATAAAGTTGTATGTTGAATTTTCTTGATCTCTCAAGGGTTTTAAAAAAGACATGACACTTCACTAGATTTGTTCTTCCTCTTCATAACTCTTAGTGGTAACATTGTTTATCTACAGATAATGTAGAATTGATAAAAGAATGAGGAAAAATTTACTTCTTGATGTATATAAGTTTTAATTTTGAGAGAGTGTTATTTTCTGGATATATTTTTCTTCATTTTACTGTGAAATTGATTGCTTCAATGAGTTTCTCATAGCTGGGGTTTTGGAAATGATCCCTCAATATTTGTTTGGAAAAGAGGACTTGTGGAAGGTAAAGGTCACTTCTACAGCAAGTGTTGTATATTAGTGGCTGAATGGTACGCTGTTTTTTTATTATTATTTATATGGAAAAGGCATCAGGTATCAAGTAGTTAGAAGATTTATCTTGTGACTGTAATAGTATAGAAGGAGATAACATGGTATGATACAAAGGCGGTCCTGTAGTGTCAAAAAATACCTCCAAATTCTCAGGTTTCAGAGCTTAATGTACGTACTTCTGACCTCTCAGGAAGAAAAGAGGCTAGGTGGGGAATGGTGGGGTGCCTAGGAGCCGGAAGGGAGAACATGCCTGGGTGGAAACGTAAAGCAAACTGAATGTGAACTTTCGTCCAAACAGAAGTAACTGTGAAACTGGGCAGCACAATGGTTTAGCTGTGGGAGGGATTCACAATAGAACTGCTTTGGTGCGTTACCACCCTGAGAAAGAAAATGTATGAGTATACCCTGCCTGCCTCTTCTTACGTGGTCTGACTCTATGAAGACCAGAATGCCCACCCTACAAAAGGCACAATTATCAAATATCTGAACATTTTTCATCTAATAATAAAAACATAATAATTAGATTATTTGCTTCACTATATTGCACTTTTATTGAGCATTCTCTGAAAAAAAGCAAAGAGATTCCTGCAGCACTTTGCCATATGAGAATGCTTATCTTGGAGGTCACTGGGACTGCTTGTATATTCTAGTGTTTGCAGGCTCAAGCTGTGTTTTTTGCAGAATGTTTTGAAAGATATCAGGAACATTACCCCAAATCTGTGGTTTGAAAAATAAATGTGAAGTCATTAGTTACAAAAATTACTATTCTTAGAAATTATGTTTCATTACTCCTTTTGGAAATTAAACTACAGCCTGCAGTAACATTAGCTTGTCTGATTCACTCTGTTAATGTTTGTATTAATATATTAAAACACCTCTATTAATCCCTAGCAACACAACCCAATCTACATGCTTATTATGTATTTTATCCGAGTAGTCTTGAGTGTCAAACTGAGAGCTTTCATTACGACAAAATTACATTCCTGTTTACCTGAAGACAGCGTGTTAAGACTTCCGTGGACTAATGCTGCTCTCTCAAGTCAGTGGCAACTCAGTCTGGTACTTGGATGATGACCCAAAATACATACATAGGATGCAGTAGCCAGCTGTGCAGACAACTATGGAAGGCATGGAAATCATACACAGGCTTGACTGGCCCTCTACAGAAGTGCTGGATGTCGGCCTCTTGAAACATAAGCAAATAGATCTGTGGCTGTGGGTTTTTTTCCGTGGGAAGATCAGTGAAAACCAGCACATTTAAAATTTGATGATTACTTCTATAAATATTTAGGGC